CCACTGAGACGTGATGTGACGCAAGGTCGCGTTTAATGTGGGGAATCTGAGTGCTTCCACCCGGACAAAAATTACCCGTCGGTTGCGCTAGCATCGGTGGCGAGCACTGTTCCCCTTCTCTAGTGCAATGAGAGGTTGCAGCCCCGGGCAGCTGTTCCTCAAGGCCGAGCACCTCGCAGTATTATTTCCCTCAGTTGCTCACCGACGGAGCCGCAATTGAGTCGCACTCTACCCGAAGACAGAGACGTAACTGAGAGAATGTGATTAGTATTAAGTGAACAAGAGAAAAAAATGCCAATACCTTCAGATGAGAATCGTTGAGTTTCAGGAAATCTACGGTCCTTGTACCTCAATTCATACTTCGGTTTTTGCCAAAACACTTTCGTCTACCCGTAGAGTCTTACCTGAGGGATCGAATATAACTCTGAATTATTCAGTGTGAGAGCATGTTCTGCCTCCATTATGTACAGTTCGGTGCTTGTGAGATGGGGAACGGATCTTCTAGAGTGCATTCAAACCCCGATATCGTAATATGGGAGGGGGTGCTATAAATTACAGCACTCGCTCATCTTTGGTACTTGTGGATGAAACTTTGTGGAGGGAACAGCGCTATATAAGGTCCAGGACAGTGTACAGATACACTTCCAGCAAAATAAGTCTCGCCTACTAAAGCTCTTCAACATGCTATGCAAGATTTTCGACAAATTTCCTGACAGGCAAGATCACCATATACTTCTTCGATTTGCCATGTCCCTGCAATACGTAGGCGATCATGGTTCTCCACAACCTCCCATCTCTTTTGACTTAGCAACGTCTGTCTATTTGCCATCACTCTCACTTCCTCTTCTACCATCAACTCATACAAGCTCATCAGATAGATAACCCTCTGCCTTACCTTGGATCATTTGCTGTTGGTATGTCATGTGAGTGTTAAATTATCCAAGCCCTTCTACCGTCTCAGAAATTCCAGCTGTCTGTTCCTGATACGGAGTTCAAGCGTTGTTTATTTTCCATTTTTCTTTACACTTCTTCGTTGCTTAGTCGTCTCTTAAAAAAGTATGGGGCAACATCAGACCTGTTCATTCCCCATCTTTATTGCATCGTATCCACTAGATCCACGGGGCGTGGATTAATCTACCACAGGGTGGTATTCGCCATCTATACTATTCTTCTGATGCAAGAGTAGACGCCAGTGTTAACGCCCAAGGAGGATATACAGTTTCTTAATATGACGTTTAAGTACTTTTGATACAAACCTTATTTTGGCAACTGTCCATATCGTGAGCTGTATATACGTATATATAATCTCATTTCGGCGTGGTGATGTAGATGTAGATGTACTTGGATTGTTATCCAGGCGTGCGGTAAGCCCAATGAGAGTTTTGGGCCCCTTAGCGCCCATTAAGGTATCCTACTAGAAGAAGGAAAACTGATGTAACACCTGCTGCTTCATGTTGACTGCTTCTTCTTTGGTGGGCACATGCTGTTCGTGCTTAGAGAGTGGGAGTGGCCCAGACCAAAGTCTTTTCCCCACTTTAAAAATGTCATGCCCAGGCATTGCAAATAATGTATAAGTCTCCCAAGTCTTGGAACGACGACTTGCGATAAGCATACTCGACAACAGTGTAGAAGACATTATATTTACTCTAATGCAGCAATATTCTCTCGTTTAGAGTAAATATTCATGGTGTTATAATATATATATATATATATATATATATATATATATATATATATATATATATATATATATATCATTAATGCTTGTTTCATTAAATAATATAGACAAGTTTGGTCTATTTATTTTAAGTAAGTTCGTTTCATATTGTCTGATAAGCTTAATAACATTATCATTGAAAGACGAATGGAAATCACCATATTGATACATGTTTAAATCCAATCTAAGCTTTCGGCTTACATAAGCCATTATCAAAGATGACAATTACATTTCAATATATCAAACAATACACGGACGAAACAATAAAGCAACGACAACTCGTGTATACGAGACGCGGAAGCGAAAATGGCGTCGCAGCTCGTGACATCACACATGACCACGCGAGAGTATAAACGAGAATTATTAAGTATGTGAAGCCGTTGGTATAAACCAATGGCTTCTGTTATCAATTATAGGAATTTAAGAATATTTGTGGAGATTTCATAGTTGATTTTGTTCCTTTCGTTATTAAGCTTATCAGACAATATGAAACGAACTTACTTAAAATAAATAGACAAAACTTGTCTATATTATTCAATGAAACATGCATTAATGAAAAATTGCTGCCTAAATATACACAATATATGTCTGTGTGTGGAAAAATAATAATAAACAAGGCGTTTCTCCAAGAGCGTCTGCTTTCTTTGACTTCCCCAGATTAGAATTACACAACGACAAATCTGTATGTAAGAAAAATGCCTTGGGATAGTGGGCATGAATATATGTACATATATGTACAAGTACACAAAAAAAGGCTCTAATATATGTATATGCCTTGGGTGGGTGTGAATGTATCTGCACACACACACACACACACACACACACATATATATATATTTATACATACAGGGTGTATCAAAATACTTTTACAAACATTGGGGTCGTGTTCCTCACAGCAAAATAAGGACAAAAGTCCATATAAACATGTTTCCGCAAAACCTCCGTTTTTGAGTTATTAAGTTTAAGGAAAATTTACAGTAGATGGCGTTGTGTGGCCATGTAGAGTAGGTTACATTTGTCATTCGTGTACACTCGTGGCTAGTCAATTTTCAACGTTTAAGGTGTGTATTAGTGAGTTAACTATGCATGATGACTCCTGGTAGAATGTCTAATTCTCTCAGAATTGCTTCGCTGCATAGGTTGAACAAGTCTGGCTAGAAAATGTGCAAAATGTTTCCCTTAATTAACTTTCCCTTACCTTTTAGATCATCGTTATTTGATAATCACGTCTTAAAAGCGTCGTTATTTCGGGATTGATCCGTATATGTAATCAGATACACTAATCAAACTATGTTTTTCTCTTTGCATGTGCCGTATCCCTTCGGGATGTTACATTAATCCAGCTGCACGCTTCTTCTTCTATGAATCATAGTTCTCCACAACTTCCTATCCTTTGTACACTTATTGTAATATTTGTCTATTCACTATCCTTCTTAATGCCTGTTCTACCATCGATTTATACAAGCTCATTAGCTAAGGGTTAGTTGCTGATTTCCTCTGTCTCTTTTACCTTCGATATGTCTTATAGGTGTCAAATTATCCAAGCTCTCCTTCACCATTATGTTTCCTAAAACCTTCCTCATTTCTCACGTGTCCATGGAATTTTCAGCACTCCCTTTCCTAAGGTTCCCGACCCTGTCCTGCCGCCCATTTACACAAGCTAGTCGGATAAGTGACTCACTGATTTCCCCTATCTCTTTTGTCATCACTATGCCACGTGAGGTTTAAGTTTTCCAAAGCCACTTTCCTCAATATGTGTACAAGGAATTTTAGCTGTTTTTTTTCTGATTCTGAGTAGAAGTGCTCTTTCTGTTGTCATTTGCTTTAAGATTTCCTTGCTGCTAATTAGCCCCATCCATGGAATGTTCAGTATCCTTCTGTAGAACAACATTTCTGCTGCCCTAGTTTTGTCCTCATTCGAGGGGAAATTGTCCAGCATTTACCGACACATAAGTGGATGCACATTATATAGCAATATATTGTAACAAAAATCATGTGTTTAGTTCATTCTTGCACTATATTTCATTAGATCTCATCAGTCCAAATCGGACTATGTACGTCACAAGCCAGTAATAACTATGAGAAGAGAAAACATCTATCAGGGTTGATATTATAGTAGTAGTCTATATTTAAAGGGTCTTTATTTAAATATCTATAATTTTACAATTTCAGTAAGAGTAATTTGCTCAAAATATGAATGCCATCTGCTGGTATTCTCATTTTTGTGCTTCACGTTAAAATTTATTCAAGATTCTAGTCACGTGAGAATGTCTGAGGCGTGTGTATTTATGTACGATAGTTAGTGCTTAAATAACGACATACCTGGATACGCATGTCTTAAACTGTGCTTATGGGTAGGTATTTTTGAAAAGATAAGTAAATATTTGTTTTTATGTCGACAGGAAGAGGAGTGTTGAGCGCGCTGCTTGAATGTTTCCAGACATGTAAATCTCGACATTCAGTCGCAGAAGAGAAGAAAATCGCTGCGAGGAATGCGGTCTTTTCGAGTGATTTTTCTCGCCATTTTTATTTTTTTCTGTTCCGTTGATTACAAAGTTTCTATCGAATACGTTTACCATTCTTTCTTTCTTTGAAAAATATTTTTCCTTTTTTCTATGAAACGGATTTTCTTTGTGTCTCTCTTTCTTCCTTTGCAGACATTTTTTCTTTCTTTGAAACATTTTCTTTCTTTCTTTTCACCATGCTTCTCTCAATTTTTTCTTTCTTTCTGTCATTCTTTCTTTCTTACTTTCTTTTCACTATCCTTTTTCTTCTTTCTTATTTGTCTGCTTTTTCTTTCTTTTCAGTCTGCTTCTTTTTTCTTTCTTTGTAGCCACTTTTTCTTTCTTTCTCTGAAACACATTTTCTTTTTTCAAAGATATTTTCTTTTTTTTATTTCATTCTTTTTTCTGTGCTTCATATTTTCTTTCTTTTCAGTATGCTTCGCTTCCTCTCATTCTTTCTTTCTTTCTTTTTCACTTCTTCCTTACTCATTTGCTTTTCTTTCTTTTCAGCATGATTCTTCTTTCCTTCATTCTTTCTTTTGAGTTCTTTCTTTCTTTCTAATTCTTAAATTTTTTCTCTCGTTTCTCATTTGCTTTATTTTTCATTCTCTCTGTATTTTTTCTTAATTATTTCATTTTTCAAAAAGTTCTTTGTAGTTCCCTGTTTTGTTAATTTCTTTTTCTTTGCATATTCTTCTTCAAACTTTCTTTCTTCTTGATTTATTCGTGTTTTATCTTAACCTTCATTTTGTACTTTATTTTGCATTTTCTTTCTTAAAATGTTCTTTTTTCTTTTCTACACTTTGTTTTCTTTTCTTCACTTTTTCTTCAGTTTTCTTCTTTTATTTTTATTTACTTCTTTATTTTTTTCTTTCTGCACTTTGCATCCTATTTTCATTGTTTTTCTTTTTCTATCTTTTTCATTCTTTTTTTTAAATTATTTTTATTCCTTCCTTCTTTTGATAAACTCTAGCGTATTTTTTTCTTTTATGAGTCGTTTCTTCTTTTTGCTTTTGTTACTTTTTTATTTTCATCTGATTTTTCTTAAATCCTTCCCGCTTTTTTTCTTCAGTAATTTTTATTTTAATTCTTTTTTCTTTAATTTTTACCACTTATTTTTTTTAAATAACCTACGCATTCTTGTTCTTTCTCATTTCTTTTGTAATTCAATATTTAAACGAGTTTTTTTCTCGTTTTTCATTTCATTTTCTGTTCCAATTTTTACTTCTGTTATCTTTGTATTCTAGTTTTACTACCCACCATGGCCTTGTGTCACACTTAGGTAAAAGTAAACTTCTGCTGTTATTATATTTGCAAATTGATATGAAACTAAGTTACATCGGCATTTTCATTTTTTATCTCTTTTCTATTTTTCTCTTTTTTCCTTATTTTCTCATCCAAATCATTTTTCATATACAAATTTCCTGATCTTTTCCTTCTTCTTTCTCTTTTCTTTACCTTTTCTTCTTCTTTTTTCCTTTTTCTTGTCTATATTTTTCTTTTTCTTCTCTTTCTTTCTCTGTTTCTTTGTTTCTTCTTTCCTTTTTTCACTTTCTTTCTTGCTTATACCCTCTTCGTATATTGTTGTCCATTCTTCTTTCTTTCTATACTTTTTTACATTTTTCTTTTCTCACTTTTTTCTTGCTTATGCTTTCTTTTTTCTTTCTTTTTTACTTTCTTTTTTTTGCATATACCTTCTTAGTTTCCTTTTCTCTTTTTCTTTATCTTATTTTAAACATTTCTTTTTCCTTTTTCTTCTTTTCTTCTTCTTTTATTGTTTTGATTGTCTTCTTTCTCTCATTCTTTTTCTATTTTATTATTCTTACATTTATTTCTTCCTACCTTTAGTTTTCATCTTCTTTTTATTCTTCAGCATCATAATTTCCATCTCATTTTGTCAATTATTATTATTATTATTATTATTATTATTATTATTATTATTACATGAGATTTCCAATCTGTTAAGATTATTATCGGAATCGAACTCAACATTGACGTGTATCTTTAGTTTGGGAGTAATAACGGAAATACGGACCAACGGATTCAGTTCAGAAAAAAAATAATATCACTTGGCCAACATTTCTTATGGTAGAAAACGAAACCTCCAAAGATGGTAGAGATGTTTTCATTTTTGTTTTTTCATCATATCTTAATTCGACACCAGATGGAAGAAGCATTATGAACAAAGCAGAAAGGACCGACCTCTGCCTTTCTCAAGTGAAGGAATGAAAATATGTTGGCTAATAAAACACGTGCATTATTTGCTTAAACTCTTTCAGCCACATGTCAGGTTTGACGGTGGTTCAGTATAGCACAGAGACGGACATTGACAAACTGCGAAGATGTTTCCTTTTATATACATACCTATCTACACACGCATAAACATACACTCGCCTATATATGCAATTGGCTACTGGAGTTTATATACATTTCGTATAGAATACGTTAAAATTTCGCTTTCTCTGCCGTGCACCGATAGCTTAGGGGATAAGATCTCTGACTTTTCGATCTCGGCTTGAAGCAATCGGACGTCTGACCGTAATGGATGTGGATGACTATATATATATATATATATATATATATATATATATATATATATATAAATATATATATATATATATATTATAAACCTAATGAGCACTGGTAAAAATGGCTGCTGAAGAAATTAGGTTTATAATACCCAGAAATTCATACACAGATGACACATTAAATAAAGGCGTCGGTTAGTGACAGAACCCAAAGAGTGTGAGTTCAATACCCGGTTAGGGCAGTGGAGAACTTAACAGTGGGAAATTAATAGGAGATAACTGATAACTGACATCCATTATACATGGCACGTGGAACTAGAACAGTCCAGTGAGCGAAATAAAGGGTTTAGTTCAACATTCCAACCACATGAAGAAGGCCGGAACGTACAACGGCCAAAACGTTGTAATAAATATGGCGATAAAGATGAGGACAATAGTCCGAATAATGTAAATAATATATATATATATATATATATATATATATATACAGTGTATCAAAAATACGTTTACAAACGTGGGTGGGGCGGGTTCACCCATACGAAAACAAGAACAAAAGTTCATATAAACATATGTCCGCAAATCCTTCGTTATTAAATCTAAGGAAAGTTTACGGTAGATGTGTTCCCATGTCAACTAGGTTACATTTGTCATTCGTGTACATTTGTGGTTAGTCTATCTTTAACGTTTAACGCGTGTAGTAGTGACTTAACTGGGAAATGTTCCGTTTAACAATGCCTGGATACTCATATTGTGAGCAGGCAGATATGATTTTTACATACATTCGCGCAAATCGTAATGGACGCGAGGCTGCACAGATGTATCTTTGCTGCTGTTTATTGTCGCGTTGCTGAGACAAGATCCGTGACACAAACTAGGGTAATAAGTAATTTTGTATTCTATCTTGGATTGTACATTTAATAGCGTCTGCCGTAAACCTAATAACTCAAAAAGGACGGATTTGGGGACAAATGTTTATATATACTTTTTCTTTTTTTTGAGGTGTGGAAACCGCTCCCTAAGTTTGTAAATGTATTTTTGATACACTCTGTATATATATATATATATATATATATATATATATATATATATATATATATATACAGGATCTAAATATACATTCCAATACACAATGATGTAAGCTTACCAAAGAACAGATTTACGTGCGGCAACATGCGTTTTAACTCACATATATTGATATATCGAAATGATCTTCGAAACAAGACAATGTATTTGGGCAGCAATCCCTCTTTTATACAAGTTTCGTTAGAGACGACTGGCAATGTACTGCGATTGAGTTTTTTATTTAATTTTTCTTGCGTTCTTACAAGTTTTTTCTTTTTTGGAGACAAAATGTGTAAAATCTGTCCAAAAGTTCTGCCTGTTCCAGCATTTTCGTCTATTCTTTTAACCCTAATCAACGACAATTTTTATTTTTCACTGAATGTCTGTTTTTTTTTTTATGAATGTGTCTAAACTCATAGGAATGTTTTATTTTCCAAACACGGTCAGCACATTGTGGTCATGTTTGTAGTTAATGATTTGTGTGCTGACTTTTTCCTTTTTATTTGTAGAGCTTCCGTTATTTTTAATCTTTTTTTTTTACACGTGGATGAGGCTATTATAATTGTATTTTCTCCTAGTAATTTGAAGATCTATTCTAGCAGGTTTACGTGTGTGTTTAAATGAATACTACTTGAGCTATTGTCGGGTAGGTGTAACATGCGTCGTCTAGATAGGCATTGTGTCATATGACCAATATAATTTTTATAAGTTTGGTTTGATCAGGAACACAGTTCCTTAAGTCGCATTTGAACTCGTAAATAATATTGGTTCTCTGTAATTTTTATTTTGCCGGGGTGATCGTATTGTTGATGACAAGGTTAGCTGTTTTAAATTTATTGATTTATTGTAGTAGATAATTAATTTAATTTTCTTGTTCTATATATATATTTATATATATATATATTAATTTAATTCTCTTGTTCTATATATATATATATATATATATATATATATATATATATATATATATTCGACTCTCTCCCGTCGAATTCGACGTATGAGGGTCAAGCAGATCAGCTCCTAGGAAACCGACAGCCCCACAACAGCACATGCGATTTGATTATAATGGTGAAGGTTTCGTGCAGGACCATCCACACTTTTTGAAGGGCCGAATACAGAGACCCGGTGCACTAGGTGTCACAAGGTCCCCAAACGACCCTCCGCAGGTTTTGAATTCAGAGTTGTCCTTCTTCTAGATCAAGGCTATATATAAAGGCAGCAATAATTCATTTAAACAATTTATTATTATTAGGTTGGGTTCGGAAAATAAAGTCCAAGTTTAGAACAAGTGTTCTATTATATTATTAAAATAGTTACCCGAAAATATATAGCTCATTCCTAATAATTAAAATGTCGTCTTTTTTAATTTTATATCACTCTTTCAGAATTTAACTTGAGACTTTACATACCCTCTCATCGTGAACATAAAAAATAAGAGATGCGTTTACTTTTTTTTACATGAGTTCAAGCTGTGCCACAATAGTTCACAAACTGCTGCCAACATTAACAGAACAATGGGAGAAGGATCCACTTGTGATTGGATAGTATGGTGCTGGTATTGAAGTTCCGTAGTGGGGATACGAGTCTTGAAGCTCAAGGTGGTAAGGGACGTCCATCTGCAATTAACAATCAACATGTGAAAACACTAGTCGAATAAAAAAGAGGTCAGTAAAATGTCTCAGATAAAATTTCAATAATACTGAACCATGTCATGAAAGTTGGCAAGGCAAAGAAACTCGATAAAAGGATTCCACATGAACTCAGTGAAATTCAAAATGTTCTATATTTTGAATTGTGTTTGATGCTGCATCTGTGAAACTCGTAGGTTTCCATTTATTGATCGAATAGTGACTTGTGATGAGAAATGGATCCTTTATGAAAATCGGAAACGATCGCTTCAATGGCTTCATTATGACGAAGCACCCAAACACTTTCCAAGACAGAAATTGCGCCTGCTGAAGATTGTGATGACTGTATGGTGACCTACCACTGGCGTTATCCACTACAGCTTTCAGGATTCTTACCTGAGCATCACTGCCTAAGGTTACTGTCAGCAACCGGATGAAAGGCGTATTCAATTATGCAAAATAAAAGCAGTATTGGTCAATCAACAATATCCGATTCTGATTCATGAAAATGCTCGGCTACATGTTGTCAAGATGACACTGCAGAAGCTTACCGACTTAAGACTAGAATTTGCCCCATTCGCCAAATTCGCCTTCATCTTTAGCCCACTGATTACCGCCTTCTCTAGCATCATAACAATTTTTTAAAACCAAATGATATCCCATTGTAGAGAAAATGCAGAAAGTACAAAGATTTCTTAGCGTCCAATAAATATAGTTTTGTCATGAAGCCATAATCAATCTTGTAACTTGATAACTGAAATGCATAGATGTTCAGTATTGTATTTTGGTTGTTTGAAACACCGTTGAAATACATTAATTTAGGAATAAAAGTTGCTTCTAAAATCGGACAGTATTTTCCGAGCTTTGGGGAGGGGAGAAGAGGCGCATTCATAACTTTCACTTAAGTGAATATAACGAACCCAACGAGAATTGGAACTCGGCTCTCCGATTAACAATTCCGGATCATAAACCATTACTCCATCCGCACATCCAAGCTTAAAGAACCTGGTATTCCGAAGCGGTTATCCATCTACGTACTGATCAGGCTCGACGTTGCTTAACTTCGGTGATCACACCGGGACGCCAACATAAAATGCATATTAGTAGCTCATAGCAACATACTTTATAGCACTCATTGCAAGGAAAGGCTGAAAATATTCGAGGCTATTATTATACAGAAGAAATAATCTGAATTAAATAAAATATCTTTCATCACAACAGCTGACATTTTAAAAAGGTGTGTAAAATATTTAAATGGATTGTAAAATATTTTATAATATATTCATTCTCTGGTTTTGTGAAGCTCTGTTAACAATTTCTGAAGATGAAAATTAGCGTTCTAAAGTATGCCAGGATGAAGCTAATAATCCTTTTCTTTATGACGCTGAAAAAAATTTAGTTCTTGATAATGACTAAAACAGTCGAAAATACTCGAGAATAAACAATAGTAAAATATTTTAATCCGATTTTGCAACAGCTTATTCGAAAATAAAACATGCAGCAAACAAACTTTGTTTGAGAAATCACCACATCCCAAGTAACCAAAATACAACTATTAAAATAATACTAATATCAGTAAAACTTTGTAACTATCCTCTGGGTCATACCAATTCAAATTGACAGGGAAATAAAAATCAAAAGACCTGATATTATCATGAAGTGTATGCTTATTGACACAAAGGTACCATCTGAGAGAAACACCTCCATAAAAATTATTGAAAATTTGTTCAAATACCAGGACCTGGAGATCGAGATTAACAGGATGTGGGGAATGAAGACTGAGACCAATAGTAATCGGAGCTCTGGGCCTCGTGAGAAAAGGAATGGACAATTTTACTAACAGTGTCTCAGGTAACATTAAAATCCAAGTTGCCCAGAAAATCGCCCTTTAAGAACATCCCATATACTTAGAAAATTGCTATCAATTAAATGACAATTCTCCTATAGATCCTAACGACCATAGTTTCGACCCGGCTCTATAGGATACAAGGCAGGAAACATAACATACACAAATGATGATAATAATAATAGGACAATACATTCATTAGGCATATGTTCGAACTATTGTAATGAAGTTCCGGGTGCATAATACAAACACCAAAGCGAATGATGTCACAAATGGTGAAGGAGGAAGTACACTGTGGAACACCCCAATCCTCACAGAAAGGGAAATGGATGCAAATTGACCAGACATAGTCATTAAAGATCCCAAAAAGAAACCTGCCAACTAATTGATAAGACTTGCCACATACTTCCAATGTTTTTAAAAAAGAATTCCAAATATTATCAAATTATAATGACCTGTAAATCGAGGCAACAAAAATATGGAAACTTAAAACTACGATTATTCCTGTTGTGATAGGATCATTGGGCATGATAAAGAAGCGGGGCTGATAATCATGTGAGTACAATTCCTGAACACATCAATGTCCCAGAGCTACAAAAGATCACTTTGTGCGCAACGGCACATATCAGCCGCAAACCCCACTCCATTTAAACGAAACGTCCTAAATACGCATAGATAATTCTCCTACAGTGTCCTTTTTGCTCATAGACCCGGAGGGGACTTAGTAATTAGGCACTTAAAATTGTTTTCTGGTAAGATGATAACGCAAACAACAACAACAACAATAATAATAATAATAATAATAATAAAAATAATAATTATTATTATTATTGTTCAGCTTTGATATTGGGATGGAATTTGGCATTGTCAAATTCGCCATCTTAAGAATCAAGGTAGGACAAATAGTTGAGGAAATACAATTATCTGATGGAAATAGCCGTGAGATCTTCGAAAGATGAAGAGAACTATAAGCATCTTGGCATTTTACAGGTCAACGAAGTGAAGAATACTGAAATGAAAAGGTTTAAGGGGAGGATTTCAGGCGTGTAAGGCATATTCTTGAAGCAATCTAAATGGTAGAAATATCACAAAAGAATGAATACTTTGGTAATCTCTCTGCTACGTTATTCTGCAACATTCTTAGATTGGAATTATACGAAATCACGCAGGGGTATGGTAGAAGAATGCTTAAGTTGATGGCTATGCATAAGGCTATGTATTCAAATAGTGATGTCGATAGGTTGCATATTCCAAGAAAAGAGGAACGCAGACGTCTAATGAGTGTTAAAGACTTTGTGTCATTGGCTGTTCTGGGACTTGAGAATTTTGTTAAATGTTCTAATTAATTGCTTCTGACAACAATACAAAGAGTGGATGAGGTTTTAGAACCGAGAAATGTTGTGCCAGTGACGGCTAAGAAGCAATGTATTGAAAAGCGGCATGGCAAGTTAAAAAAAAGCATCATGTTTCAGAAAATTGCTAGACCTTAGAGATGACTTTGGATAAAAGATGATTTTATATAGAGAGAAACAGAGTCACTTCTATTTGTCGTATAGGAGAAGGCCATCGGAACAAATGCAATCAAGGTTAGGATGGAGAGTTCACAAGTAAATATAATTAAAATAAATAAGGATATAATTAACCATACACTCGCTAAATGTCCGAAGTTGGAACGAAAAAAAAATAGTGACAACATCATTGGATTGATAGGAGAATCCATTGGGAAGTGGACTGTAGGTTCAGTTTTAATTTGTGAAGGAGAATTGGTATGAATATCAGCCAGAAGTAGAAAATAATAACTAAAATCTATTATGGAATTTCTCAGTCAAGATAAAAGATGTCATTGAAGCACGGAGATATAACTTTATGGTTATAGATAAGGAGAGTAGTAAGTGTCAAATTATTGAGTTAGCTGTTTCATGTGATACAAAAGTAGACACCAAAGAACTGACCAGATTGAAAATACCAGGATCTGGCTCGGGAGATGAAGAAGTTATGGGACATGAAAATTGAAAGAGCACTTAAGGAAAATTGGAATTGAGACTAAAACTGAAGATTTTTCGAAATGTTCTGGAGTTGTGAGGAGTCTTGTTGACACCATGCCTAAAGAACAGAATCCATTGACTACATTGACCAACATAATAATAATAATAATAATAATAATAATAATAAGAAGAAGAAGAGGAAGAAGAATCCTTTCAAGAACAGATGTGGTGCCGGTTTGCTAGGCATAATCCCTTTGTCTAAATCCTGGTATTCACTGGAAAGCTGGAAATTTGAAATACTCTACGGTGACGTCATGTATGATATATAAAAAAGAATGCGTTCATATATATATATATATATATATATATAGGGGTTATGGGGTGTCAGGGGAGCGGCCACCCCGGGCAACGGCTTTGGCAGGTCGGCCAAACCAGTTGAGGATAGCCGACGGGTCTGTAACCCCCGGTGAGTCAGACCAACTTCATGCGAAGACTGACTTCCGGCGGAACAAGCGGAAGATAACATATGGATCCAACGATTGTGAAAGCGGTGGCAGCAAGTGTTGTGGAGCATGGATGTGACACCTAAAGAAGTCCTGGTCGTCCACTGCAGCCTAGCAGTCTCCAGTCTCTGCCAGTGGATCAAGAATTCTCAGGCCGATAGAGTGGGATTGTTCCCGTGCATCAATCTTACTATAAAATCCTAACGCACAGGTCCGTTATGCAACTCATTATCCATTACTCATCATCAATTCATCACTGATCTGTCAACACACATTACTCAAGTCCTGCGGCAATGGGTACGTGTCGAAGCAACAGGTGGAGGTGACCACTGGCAGTTGTAGTCACAATCCTGCACCTAGGCGGTTTATGGGCAAGTGGTCGTCCTTTTCCTGAAACAATGGGCAACAGGATGTTCCGGCAACACCCGTAGGTGACTGGGCAGCCTCCTTTGGACAGCACTGCCCACTTTCACATAGGGGAGGGCGCTAGAAAAGGTGCCCAAACAAATGTTCTTTTTTAGTCTGGTCAGCTTACCGCGGTTGACGGACTCGTCCTCATTGCAGTCAAACAATGCAAAAGAAAAATCACAAGAATCCCATTTTGGGAGTCTAGACGGTTCGAACACTACTGGATGGAGAACCAGTACCATCGAGACCAGAAAAAGAACAGCACTTGTCGCAAAAGAACTTCAGCGATACTGAATAGATATGGCTGCACTCAGCAAAACCCGGTTTGCCGATGAAGGTCCCCTAAGAGAAGAAGGGGGAGGATACACCTTCTTCTGGCAAGAAAATGGCGTAGGATTTGCGATCAGAACAACTCTGATTAAAAACATACCAGTTCTCCCAGCTGAAATCAATGAACGCCTCATGAAACTGCGCATTTCCCTTAGTAATTTAAGACACCTCACAGTCATCAGTATGTACGCACCCACGCTCACAAGCCCAGAAGACGCCAAATAGCAGCTCTACGAACATCCTGATCAGGTTATCAAGTCCCCACCCCGAATGACAATCTCGTCATCTTTGGAGATTTCAATGCCAAAATCGGGAGAGACTACAACAGCTGCGAAGACTTTCTTGGAAGACGTGCAGTAGGCAAGGTCAATGACAATGGCCTCCTCCTATTCGGCAAGTGTGCAGAACACGGCCTCTCCATTACCAACACCTTGTTCAGGATGGCTGATAAATAAAAGATCACCTGGATGCACCCGAGGTCAAGACACTGGCACCTGATTAATTTCATCATTGTACGCCAACGCGACATCAGGTACGCCATCAGGCTTGCTGAATGCAGGACTGACCACAGGATGGTCAGGACCGTACTGACGCTGCACATACCACCCCTTCACAGAAACCGACCCAAGACTGTTAGGGTTTCCTACAACGTTGCCATACTGAAAGACTAAACATGCATGACGAAAAGCTCCAAGACGGTCTGACCCCCGAAGGCAGCACCAGATAATGGCCTTCTTTCAGGAACACTGTCGCTGAGACTGCTAGAGAGGTTTTTGAGGCAAATACCAGAACTCATGAAGACTGGTATAGCCAGAACAATAAGAAGATCAAGGAAGTCTTAGAATGACCCATCTTCCGTCTCCAAACGTGATAGATTCAAGACTCTCCAGGCTAAAGTGCAGCCCGATCTACGCACGATGAAAGACCAGTGGTGGCAAGACAAAGCGGCTGAAGTTCAATACTACGCTGATACAATGCCAAGAAATTCTTCAGCTCACTGAGGACAGTCTTCGGTCCCACTGCATCAGGCTGCTTTCCTCTGCTGTCTTCAGATGGCACAGCCCTGATCAAAGACGTCTAAGCAATTGCTGGCAAGAACATTTCAGCAACCTGCTTAACCGACCCTCATCAGTCAATGCAGATGCACAGAACTGCGGCTAAAAATAAATAAAGTCAACTCCGAGTAATAGCAACAAAGAAGAAGTAAAATGTTATATAAAACATACTACATTAAAATAATACAATTAAAAAATAATACAATTAAAAAACACATCAACTACTTCCCTTGCATAGCGGTGAAAGATATTTGGAATTTACGGTGTTAAAGCATAACACATTCATAAATATGCAACCATTGAAGATGGCGTTCTTTTTCTTTCTAGCACGCATACACACACACGCACACACACACAAATATATATATATATATATTGGATAAACGTGTATGACAAAATGTAAAAGTTTTCGTTTGACGCGTTTCGTTCTTTAGGACATCGGACTAAGTTTTTATGTTTACGCTGAACGAACAAGGAAGGCTGCGAATTTTACATTTAATTTTTTATTATTATTCTTATCTGTGTTTTGGATATATCTATATATAGTCTAGCCGATTTCATGTAGATTCTTTTTCTTTTTGTTTCCATCACTGTTGTTATTAGATATCATGAAGAAAATCTGCCAAGAACGGTGAAAGGTTGTAAGAATCTGGATGCATATTTACTGTAGATGATCTAGCGATTAAAGCACTTTCTAAATATTTTCGTCTCAGTGAATTTTTCTCTCCATTTCTCCCTCTATCTTTGTATATATATATATATATATATATATATATATATATATATATATACACGTTTCATTAAATAATATAGACAAGTGTTGTCTATTTATTTTATGTAAAATTTTTCGTATCTTCTGATAAGTTTGATAACATTATCATTAACCGAAAAAAAGAAATTCACAATATTTATCCATTATTTTTTAATAAAATCTAAGCTTTCGGCTTACTCAAGCCATTATCAAAGATGTAATTACAAACATATCAAACAATATACGACAGTGATGATAGTCTGTCATTGTTTTGTTTACATAGTGGATCACTAAGCAACTTTGGGAGAGTGTATCTCCAACGAATAAATAATATTTATGTTGGTCACACCACAAACTCGCTTTCACGACGCTTGACACTACATTTTAATGAAAACTCTAACATTTTTAGGCATTTAAAACAACATGCCTGCCCGCACACACAATTCCGTAAAATACTTGTCGAAAACACAACTATACTTCGACATGAAAACAATAGACAAAAACTAAAAATACTTGAAGCATTATACATCAAACAGTTAAAACCCAACCTAAACAAAATCAACTATGGAATCTCTACAAATATTCTTAAATGTCTATAATTTCTATAATTGGTAACAGAAGCCATTGGTTTATACCAACGGCTTTCCTTATTTCATTCTACAATTCACTCTCGTGTAGTCATGTGTGCGATTTTCGCTTCTAGCGTCTTATATGCGCGTGTTCATCGTTGCTTAGTGATCCACTATGTAAACAAAACAATGACAGACTATCATCACTGTCGTGTCCGTATATTGTTTGATATGTTTGTAATTACATCTTTGATAATGGCTTGAGTAAGCCGAAAGCTTAGATTTTATTAAAAAATAATGGATAAATATTGTGAATTTCTTTTTTCGGTTAATGATAATGTTATCAAACTTATCAGAAGATACGAAAAAATTTTACATAAAATAAATAGACAACACTTGTCTATATTATTTAATGAAACGTGTATAAATGAAAATATGCTGCCTAAATACACACAATATATATATATATATATACATTGACAGGACTTGTTTTTCGTCCTGTGGAGTGACATGCCAGCCTCTTCAAAAGTAGAAAAGCTATTGAAGGAGTTGGTTTAGACGAAGACCATCCATCCATGCGGTAGGTTGTACAGGGTCACATGTTACCAATAGCAGGCCTAAGCCTGACCTGACTGAAAAAACACAGAGAAAAAGATACAATCGTAATTATCTGATGTCTGCTGACCAATACTTATAGAGATGTCTATCCTCTTCCTCATGCGGTTCGTTTAAGTGTCTCTTTAAATCTGATTATTTTTAGATGACCGAATATGAAGAATTTTGTTTTTATCTTTGCTTGATACTCGACCAGACCGCGTGACAATGACGCCACCATAGAAAAAAAATCGTCTACCGTGCACTTAAGACTACTTCCGCTGCGTCTCAGGCTAATTTTAAATAATCTCGGCGGAAGCACTTCCTTTGAAATTATTAGTCAATATTCAATTTTGTAGGTGGAGATGTTTTTCATTTTGACGACTTGTGTCGGTAAAAAGACATTAGACGTGGAGTGACGACAAAGTTTTAGCTTACGTCTATTAACTTATATAACTTGGATGTGCGGCTGGTATAACAGACATTGGCTAGGAACGTGAAATCGGAGAGCCGAGTTCGCATTCTAGTCGAGTTTCATTACATTATCTTTGGTGCGAATACCACTGGGAAAGATATGAATCATTGAACTTCCCATCTATAGGTTAAATAGTAGGAAAGACTGAGGTCTTCAGCCTTGGGCTGTAATCAGTCTAGGAGAAGGACAACTCTGAATTCAAAACTTTATGTAGCCCTGGCGAAGCACATAAAATGAAATGATTGTGGATTTTACAATGACTCTATTTTCCAACTTGACTGATGCGCTGTGTACCATTTGGAGGCAGACTATCATTACTCTCCACACGCTTAAATTGCTTGTAGATCTAAGCAACATTTGGAATTTTAACACCGCTCTTTAACCATATTAATCGATATTCCCCGCTCCCCTTTTTGTCTCGTGGCTGAATGGTTAGTGTTCCAACTCTCAGTAAGAGAAAAACTAGTGAAGGAGTTGATTTAAACACTGACATCCGTCCATGCGGTCGGATATATATATATATATATATATATATATATATATATATATATATATATATATATATATATATATGATAAGCTAAAGAACATATAGGAAATGTTTATCAATCTAACAGGTTTCATTTTTATTAAAGCTTCGTCAGAGAATAAAAGAAATTCTTTTTATTTTTGTATTGTTTGAGTTTCATTTTTTTTTTCGTGCATTCGATTTGTATAATCTATGGCGTTCCGAATTCAAGGAGAGACGACACGTCTTTTCGAAGTTCCAAGAAATTAACGGATTCCAAGCCAAACTGAAAAACCATAAATATTGATTTATTTATATAAGTGTACAATAATTGAAGTTTGTCTATGTTGGACTCAGATGATAATGTATATTCGTTATGGCTTGAGGATTGCATTTAAGCATGAATCAGACTGACACTGCTGGGTGTTCACTTTAATGTCCATCTTTACATACACTCTATCGCTGATATTGAGCACTTTAATCCATAAATATAGCATTCCTTATATCTATATTTTTATCTCTCTCACACACAAATGTATCTCTCTCTCTCTCTCTCTCTCTCTCTATATATATATATATATATATATGTGTGTGTGTGTGTGAAAATATTTAGAAAATAGGAAAGAACTCGTTAGGTAAATAATCCAAAGTTCTCTATCTAATTATTTTTGGCATTTGAAGGAAATGAATAAAACACCTAAAGTAAAATGGAAAATTATAAACAAAACTAGAACTTGTAAAACTTGGGATGACCCATGCCCTTTATGCCTACCTTAAAAAACTACACATTATTAAGTTTCTAAATAATAAAAATCTATTAAACAATAGACAGGAGTTAACGGTTTTTTGCCGACATCATCAAATTTTTGCATTGAATAATGAGCATAAAAACAAACAAATAATAAAATAATTTTTATAATCCATAGCCCTAATAAATAGTTTAAATACCCTACAAAAAAAGATAACCCTTTATGAAGTCGTCAAAAAACAAATGTTACGGCAGTTTTTTTTTTTTATGTACACAAAACCCTTTCAGAAAAAAATAAAATAAAAAAATAAAAAAATCTCCATAGACACGTAAACCAGACTAGGCGAAATCATCTTCCGTTTTAAACTTTTATTTTAAACTTATCATGGCCTACAATACAAATTTTCTAGTTTTTAATGCCTTAATATATATATATATATATATATATATATATATATATATATATATATATATATATAACCCAAGAGATTAGGTTAGAGAAGAAATAATAAAAGTCTAAAAGAGATAGATAGATAAGTGAATTGTTTAGGAAAAGAAATAATAAGAGAATAAAAGAGATAGATAGCCACTAATCCCATATTTAGACTGCCATACCAGTTCACACTAAGCCTTTGTTTTATACTCTTGGGAGCGAAGCAAGTCCCCATTGGATGCTTTCTATCACTGTCAGAATCCACTTCTAAAAAACATGAATTTGAAAGTAGTTGTTAATTACATGCAATTTACTTAATTAGT